AACAAAATCAAATGAATCCAACGCTAGAACATGGAAATATACATTGCGCACATGCGCGCAGCACACCAGACGTGCGCAGCGCACTGCGCACCCAGATGCGCGGCGCGCTCGCACCCTGGGTCCGCGCACAGCGCACAGTGCCGGTGCACCGCAAGTATGGTACTGATCAGTGATTAGTACTGATTACCATAATTAATAATTATTATGTTTTGTCACTTTTGTGGTTCAAATACTGTTCCTAATTCCGAATGCAGGTCAGTGTTAACACTGCTAAGTTGTTAACATGCTGAGAATTTCAGATAAACCCAGAGAGAATGTTTTTTTTTTTTTTTTTTTTTTAAATAACAAAAACAGAACCCAGCGGGTTCTGGCTCCTTTCCATTCCGGGGAGAATCACCCCAACCAGAGAGAATGTTAATGTGTGTTTTTCTTCTTCTGAATTTCTTCCGTGTACAGCAAAGCGGAGTTTTCTTGGCCAAGCTTTTGACTATCTCGGTGGTTGAACTTGAGAGAGGTTTGATGGAATGCATCCAGGTCACTGATACGTTTGGGTGATTTGCGATCGGTGCAGCTTTGCTTTGTGCTCTTCTGCCAATGATCTTTGCGCGCATCGTCACTCTTTTCCCAGATGAGTCGTTTCGTTCGAAGGTGACGATTCGATCCCCCAGCCATTCTTTCAGAATCTGTTCCATTGCTGTTCATCTGTCGGACATCCGAAATTGCTCTGGATGCTCACTCGATCAGAAAGGGATGGAGTGTGGGAATCGTTTTTCGAATGTCTGAAGTCTGAGAGTCTTATGGAGTCCTACCTGAAAACGTGTGTTTGTTTTCTCTTTTTCTTTTGAGATTTGTTTACTTTTTACTATTTTTTAGAAGTTTTTACCCATGTTGCCAGAGTCGCCCGGGCTGGGCCGCCCAGCCGACTCTCTCTCCTACTACTCTGTTAAATAACGACCCTGCTCCTCCTTTTGGCCTCGAATTTAGGAGGGTACATGCCCCTCTGAAACGGTATTCACCAATTCGTGGTAGCTGAGGTAGATCCCAGGGCTCGATCCCTAGTTTCCCAACTT